AGGGAAAGGGTGGGGGGTGGGCAGATCAACACTTCCCACAGTGAGGGAGGGGGCAGGCGCTGCCCAGGCAGAGCAGGTGGGGGGGAGGGGGGGTTCCCACCACTGCTTGCACCCCAGGGAGGGCATGGGGGGGTGCCCCCCAGATCTGTGCAGAGTGGGGCAGGCTACAGCCAGGGCTGTGTGGGGCTCTTCTTGGCAGGGGCTGGGAGGATGCTGCATCCACTCCAAAATTTCACCACTGCTGCTTCCAGCCCCGCAGCTGCCAGCTACCCAGCACAGCTCTGGCTCAACGCCCCGCCTCCACCCACATGCCAGGAAGAGCCAGGGCTGTGCTGGGTAGCAGCAGTGCTGGGAGCGGAGTGGCAACAAAATCTGGGGTGGATGCAGCATCCTCCCAGTGCTGCCAGCACCTGCTCCCTGCCCCTGCCAAGAAGAGCCCCTTACAACCCCAGTTGTAACCCAGCCCACCAGATCCAGGGGGCACACGCCCCCTTCTGTGCCCTCCCGGGATGCAAGCAGCAGCAGAAGCTCCCCCCCTGACCACAGCTCTGGCCCTCCTTCCCACCCCACCTGGGCAGCACCTGTCCCTGCCCACCCCCTCACTGTGGGAGCTGTTCATCTGCCCGCCCCCCAGCTGGAGGCAGCTCTCCATGCTGCCAGCTCTGCTCCCCGCTGCCCTAGTGCTGTGTTGCAACTGTGCAAAGCACAGGCATTTAATCGGCCAAATTATCAGCCCCATCAGTGATACCCAATACAGCCAGTTTTCTTTATATAGGTACTGATTACTGATGTATCACTGCACCTCTAGTGGGGGACACCAATCTAAGATGATCCCCATTCTTGACATTGAAAAGTATAATAATAGATAAATAAACAGATAAGTATTTTATAATTTTCCATGTCTAGAATCTAGTTAGGGGGTCATCTTGAAATCAAAGTCATCTTGTGTTCAGGTAAATACAGTTCTATCCCCATTTTACTGATGGCAAACTGAGACCCAAGGAGATGGAGACTGATCCAAAGTCAATGGAAAGACTTCTATTAAAGTTCAATGATCTATGGTCCAGGGCCCAAGGCCCCAATTTAGCTAAGTACATGAGCACAAGTTCAAAAAAGCTACATTCTGTTGAGTAATTACTTTCAGGACATTTTGATTTATTAAAGCTGTGCACTAGTCTTATGCAAGCTTTTGAATATTTCCATGACATCTGCAATATTTAAATATATTCTGCCCTAAAGTCTGCTAGGAAACTGGTCAAAGAAGCTTGACCCTTAACAGGAAATTTACCAAGAATAACACAGATTTTCCTTACGACAGGAACCCCCTGGACAGAAAGGGTAACTTTTTTGCTAGGCTCGTGTTCAAATACAAAGTTCTTATTACAATTTAAAACTCTAAATTCAAAATACCTACAGAAATCTTATCCAACTACACTGAAAGAGAGCTCTAGAGAGTCAGGCTGTTTTATTTCCACAATCCACAAATTAGATAATAAAACTGAGCTTCTAAAAAAGGTGACAGACATTAAATCCAGGAAGATACCTTATAAACCTACCAAGTACTACTCTTAACTATGAGATACAACCTCAAATGGCCCATGTATGTGTGTAAGTATACATGACATTTTGCATATCTTGCAGAATAGTCATGACTTTTTGTAACTACTTAAAATATGGTGTACATAGTTCATATGAGAACATTTTCAAAGACAGCAGCCTCCAAAATTAAAGCACAGGGAAAAAATGGAGTTAGCACAATGGAACTAACATGGTCTAACTGCAGACGTCCTACTGTTGCTCAATCTAGACTGAACTAGAGGTTTTGCAGAAAAATCTTGAATTTCACTACACTGAAATACAGAACACATCTGAGCCAGTTGGCACATCTGAGCTAAAGCGCACACAAGAGCAATTGTTCAAGTTGTCTCATTTCTGATGGACAGAGGACTGTTTTAAGGTTGCTAAACTTCTCAGTGTAGAAGGTTCATTTCTTTAAGCCTCTACTACACAGAATGTGCACTTTGTTGTATTAAATTTAGGGATCTGAATATCTTCCAAATTAATACTTAAGTGCAGAAAGGGAATATTACTTGATACCATAAATATGCATTACTTGAAGGAATGAAATCCCATGGAAAGACGACGAAATTCCCACTTAGAATACATTCCAATTAAGGTACTGTCCTTCCTGTGATTTTTAGCTATATAGCTGCACTGCTATCAATCTCTAGTATAGTACTGTACACAGACATAAGCCATAATAAAGTAAAGTAGTGAAGTATTCAAAGGATCTGCACCACTGCAACTACATCTGTGCAGCTATGCAAGGGTCCAAAATCTCCAGTGCAGACAAAGCCCAATCTCCCCAAATACTTAAGCACATGCATACTTTACCTCAGGTAAGTATTTCTATTTTTATGAGCAGTTGCATTCCTTTTCATAAAGTTAATCGTGTGCTTAAGTGTTTCAGGACTTGATAAGGCAAGTACTCATACTTATGAAAGTACCACCCATTCAAACTCATTTTATTTGTGCACTTTGTGCTACTGTCCCAAAAAAGGTCTGAAAGCAAGACCAAGAGAAAGAACATACCAGGACTCTCCACGCGTTTGTAGTGGTACGGATTGATGCAAACCTCCTTCTGCTTTGAACCGAAGGGAAACTCGCAGCATTCCAGTGGTTTCAGTTCATGATGGCTCTGGAGGTCTGGCCAGCGCCACACTCGGCAGTAAATTACATGCGGTAGCCCTTTCCTGTGTGAAACTTGAAGCCTGCCATCCAGGGAACGAGGAATTGTTACACAGTTGCTGGGCTGACCAGGACAGCTTAATGCTTTTTCCAGCTCCTCCATGGCACCTTTTTTCTTCTTAAGCTTTTTAACTAATGCATCAACAGCCTTCTCTGCCCATTTTTCTTCTTCATCCCCCTGCTTCCATCCCAACAACCGCTTAACTGCTGGGCTGGTAAAGGAGAACAGACTTGTCACATTCATGGCGAGCAACGTGGTCTCACTGATTAACGTAGAGAAAAACAGAAAAGGACTTTCCCCTAAAAACAAAACAGTGCAGATCCTGTATGTGGGCAATAGGTGGTCTGCCTTAATTTATACTGTTCCCGTTGACACTCTGAAGTCTCGACAAGCCGAAACTAACATTCCAACTTGATAGAAGCAAGCGGCTGGATTTCAAACCAAAGTCCAGCACCTACAGGAGGGGACCAGAGATGGGGAGGGAAGAGAAATAAATTGTTTTCAGTAAATCACAATTAAACATATCTAAACGTTTAGATAACATATTAACATAACAATTAAACCCATCTAAATGTCTGGGGGTCAGACTCGATCTACTGAAGTCCCTTCCGACCCGAAAAATCTATGAAATGGAAGACTGGAATGACTAAATACACCATACCATATCCAAATGCTGATGATTGCCTAGTTACTACAAAATGCAGAGCCTTTTACATATAGCATTAGAACAGGAATTCAGTTTTAGAGCATGGTTCACACTGAACATATTCGAGAGATTGTCTCATGGCCCTTTGTCTTACCATTTACAATTGCACAGACCACTGCACCTTCTACCTGTAAGTCTTGTGGCAGCCACAGCTGGCTGGCTGGTTTGTATCATGGTTTACTTTGAACAAGTGGCATGTTAAAACCTCGCTGCGCGTCCCGATACCATCTGCATGCTAGGAGCCCATTGGTTCCTCCTACACAGGAATGCTTAAACCCATGGTGTGTAGCCCACTACTAAGCTGCGCAGGGAGGCTTTAAATGTCCCCACAAAGGGGGAGCCACCAGTGATGTACTATGGGTCTCTGGCACATGGGGACCAATACCTCCTTTTGCGCCCCTCCTGCCCCGTCAGCAAAATCGCCCAGTCCAGAAACGCTGGCATTCTCCAGAAGTGCCACCAGGGAACCGAGTACCCCCTGGAGGGCCCAACATAGCCCATCTCCACCACCACCCCACGTCGGTATGCCACTGGGAGCCACTCTGCACCCCCCAGGGTAGGGACATCCTTGATCCACAGCTTCCCACAGCCTAGCACATGTGCAATCTGCACATATGCTGTTTCAAGGTGTGTGGCATGGCCAGCTGTGTATCAGGATGTCCCTGCACAGTGGAGGGGTAGGAAGGAAACACTCCAATCCCCAGTCCCCCTGCCCAGGTAGACCCGTGCAGCCAGCTATGTGCCCCAGGAAAATGTGCGACTAGGGTCTGACAAATTTGACTGCAATCCCCAAAACTGTGCATCTTGCTAGTCATGTGTGATGCTGCAAGACATCCAGTTTTGGAGATCTGCAATTAAATGTCAGATCCCAATTTTTGTTACCTTAGTAACTGGAAACAGACCCAGCAGCACCTGATATCTAGCTCGTTGCAAACTACCTGCAAATCAGAGACCAAAGTTTGAACGAAGTCTGCTGCACTCAAATTTGTGAATACTATGGTTCAAATACAGTAGTTCAGCTTGTTCACTGTAAAAATCTTTAAATATAATTTGCCAAAGCCATAGGGGCCATTTTCAATACCAATGTCACATTAAGAAATAACAAAAAAAAACAAAAAAACAAAAAAAAACAAACCTACATACACAGGTGGTAGGAACCAGCCATCGTAACTTCAACATTACAAGGACAGAGATTGATCTGCAACAGCATAAGTTTCAGGACATTGTTCAGAAAACACATGCAGTGTAGCAGACTGTTAGAATTAGAAGAGAATTTAGACAGCTGCAGTAACACTAGTACCCTTCAAAAAATATCAAGACAAAAGTCAGAGATGAGAAAGTGTCATCAGATGCCATTGTGAACAGAAGCACATACAAAATTATCAATATTCGCTTTTGGCATTGAACAAAGAAATGCCTAAAAGCAACAGAAGCCATTTATTACAGCATGCTTTTTTCCCTCCTAAGAAATTAGAAGAAAGGATGTCACCAGTTTTATATATTGGTTTCACAGTATATCAACATACCCAGAGGTAGATCCAGACAGGGCGCAGTGGCATGGTCACAACCCCCTTTCAGACGAGGCTGTAGGAGAAGCAGCCGGGGTCCTCTTAAGTCCCCGGAACACATAAGAATCCCCCCCCATCTTTCCCCTTCATGCTCAGCGCCACCTCCCCTATACTCCACTTCACCCCCTCTCCCACCTGCTGTTGCTACTGTTCCCAGCTAACCCTGGGGTGGGATTGTTCTCCAAAGCCACTTCTTCCCCCTCCATCCTGACTTTCTGGCATTGACATCAACAGATAGTTCTTCCTCCCTGCCCAATCCTCCCAGCCATAAATTCCTTGCTAACCTGGGAGCAGGCTCAGGGAAGGAAAACCTGCAGCTGCCACTTTC